TGTATTGATGACTTTCAGCTTTGCTTGGCTCGTCTGTGTTTGTCGTGGCTCACACCAGCGAACTCTAAACTGTCAGCGTGGATTAATACGAACAAACCAAAGCCTGTCCGTCATCGGGCCTGAATGTCATCATACCTTCTAGCAGTGAAAGTATTATTTCCATGTTTCCATAAAACTGGATTTAGTGTCTTAAAATCACTGCTCGGTCTGTACGCTGACACTTTGGTGCATTAAGAAGCTGAAGGATGTGCTTGCTGATGGCCGACCAGCGCGTATAGATCAGACATGACCGGTGTGAATGCAGCAGTATGTAATTCCATGTGCACGGCGCTGATCAATACGAGCTGTGAGGAGAATACAATGAAGGCCATCTCCATCCCCGCCCCCGGTCCGTACGCAGACATACACAGAAATGCACTGTGACACGGGGCTCTTATTACGAAGCCGTCCATCACAAATTACCATAATCTATGGTGTGCTCCCAATGGTTCTCCTGGGAAGCTCCCCTCATTTCATTTTTCATCTCATCCTCTTTCACTTTATTTTCCAGTAATTCAAACCCACTAAATCCAAATATGAGCAGACACGGAGCCCTGCTGTTTTGACAAGTTAAATGACTACAGGCAATGATGTGCTTCCCAGTCAGTCTGTAAGCAGCACACGTTGCCAGCCACCGCCTTGCTGCGAGTTCACCACAAACGCGTTGGTGTGTCGGTGGACGTGCACGCTCCCCCCCCGACGTGCACGCCGCTCCTTATTTCTGCGGCCGCCCGAACCCTCTGCAGCATCTTTTTTTTGAGGTGAAATTGAAATGGATTGTGTAGCTCAATATTTTATTGACATCAACTTCACAGAATGTTGCTACAGTGACACCGGGGATAATTATTTCACCACAGATTTCTTCCTCTCTGCGTTCTCGCTCCCCTCTCTCTTTCTGCCTTCCCTCCAAGCCCTTCCATTCCTGTAGAGAATTAGTTCTGCATAAATTACCCAGTGGAATATTGAATCAGTCTCCAGCCACCAAAGGCGAGTCTGTGTGGCTGATTACTGAGCAGTACACACAACATGCGTGCAGACACACACACACACACACTCGTCGAAGGAGGAAGAGGGCCTCTAAGCGAGGAGCTGACACCATTGCAGAAAACATGGCGAGGAGGAGGAGGAGGAGGAGGAGGAGGGAGGAGGGAGAGGGCTCAGCCAATCTGGATATGGAGAGTGAAAGCTGCGTTAGCCACCCTAGCCACACACTATCTGCTCATTACTTAGTCATTAGCAGGGGCATGGTTTTAAAGGAGGGAGGGATCAATCAATTGTCATGGGTCAATGTTTTGCAGCCCCATTATGAACCTTGGGTGGCTCTGTAAATTAAGCACAGTAATTACTCATGTTAATTACACAAAGATGGTGGTCACATTGATCTACAAATAACGCTTTGCATAATGCAAATGGTATGATGAGTAAACACTGGGTTGCACTCAAGTATTTGAAAAGGCTGTGGCGCTGATCACACGAGGAAGGCACAGAGGAGCACTTCTCTCCACTCTGAGTGGTTTGTAATCATTTATTTATTCTACTGTGTCTGCCGCGCGTGTACAGTGTCAATTAACGGAGAGATAATTTGGATAATTTTGGATAATAGATCATCCGAGTAAGTTATCAAGCAAAAAACAAAAACGGCAAAATACTGCCTCGTATCAGCTTCTCAGACGGGAGGATCGGATGCTTCTCTGCGTCTAGTTTAGCTGTAAATTGAACTAGTCGTAACAAAACCAACAATGTGAAGACATTTTACCATCTTCTGGCTTAAAGGACAGATTGATTTGTCAATTAGAGGAGAAAAAAATCATCTAGGGATGGCTGCAACTCACAACTTGTATTATTATTATTTATTATCAGTCCTGCAGATTTGGTGGAAGTGGTCCATTATCTGGTCAACACATACACCACCGGGTTTATTTTTTCGGTTTTTTTGCTTCCGGTTTTTTTTTTACTTGGGTTGTTTTGACCACCACCAAAAAAATGTAAAGATATTTCACCGTTTTCTGACCTTAAAGGCTGAGTGATCAGCCAGCTGGATGCTTTTCTTTGTCCACTTTCATTCTAAGTTGAACTAGTCTGAACTAAATCAACAATACGAAGACATTTCACCGTATTCTGGCTTAAAAGGCTGATTGATTCGTCAATTAAACGAAAAATCATCTGGCTGCAACTAGCATGTATTATTATGTATTATTTAATATTAATCTTGCAGATTTGGTGGAAATCATCTGGTCATCACACATCATAAGAGCTTTAATACACACGAGTGGAAAAGTTGCATAATTCATCCGCATCTAAATCTAACAGCATCGAACAGGGACGGCGACCAAATCCCCGGATCCCCCGTCCTGAGAGAGACCTAGTTTCCACGAGCAGATCTGAGTAGTCTGAGATATTTAATTCCTCCACCGGGACAAATATGTGTGAGTGTTTATGCCCATGATTGGACGATTAGCCTCTCCACTGTATCTGATACGCAGTTTGTACACAGAGATGCTCAAGAGGCACTTTAAAGGGAGCTCCCGGAGCTGCCCCTGATGCCGAACAGCATTGTTAGCAGAAATCCCTCAAGTGTATTTGAGGATCGCTTCTCGTGCTCGTTTACATACAGACGGATGTATCTGTGTTTCCTCATCCCCACAGAGACCCAGGTCTTCGGGGGGGAACCGTCGTCTCCAAAGACAGATTGAAAGAGCGCAGGCCGTGTTTGAAACTTTATTAGAGGTTCAATTAGAGGCCTTCTTACATCTAAGTGGCAGCAAAATTAGAAAATGGAAAATCATATTCAGGCAGGCAATTTTCACTGTCAGTGGTTATAAGCTGACAGAACAATTAATCAGCACAAGCATGTAGAGGAAGGAAACTCTCATCAGGAAGTCATCAGTGGCCATCAGTGCTTCCATGTCAGTGCATCAAACAACACAGGTAGAACAGCAGGTTTGTTTACTCTCTGCACCTCCTCCGGCTCTGCATTTTTCCAGCTGTTAGAAATACTTTTGGTGCCATCTAGAGGCCGGACTAGTAATCGTACTGCACATAGGCTCACAGTGTCTGAATGAGGAAATATTCCTCCGGAAATAATCCTCGTAATCGGATTATTGTCACTTGCCATTGGATAATATGAATGCAGCTATAAGCACAAAAACGCATATTATGATGTATAGTAATACCCGGCCTGCTTAAGCATATCCATGTCCATATGCGGTGAGATTTAGGAATGTACATTCAGTCCCTGAGCCATAACCCCTTCACCTAAATGTGTTTGAAATCCCAGTTGTTTCTCTGAGGCCTGTAAATACACGAAACATTCTTTAATCAGGACGGTTTCACACAAATTATCCAAAAATATAAAGATATATAAAAATACAGCTGAAACCAGAAGTTTACATCCACTGTATAAAAAGACATAAAACCGTTTTTTCCTCATTGTCTGACATTAAATCAGACTAAACTTTTCCAGTTTTAGATCAGTTAGGATTAACAAAAATATTTCTATTTGCTAAATGCCAGAATCATGACAGAAAGAATTTTTTTTAGAGAATTTCAGAAGAAAGTCAGAAGTTTAAATCCACTAAGATGCCTTCAAACTATGTGGGAAAGCTCAGGTGATGATGTCATGACTTTGGAAGCTTCTGATTGGTTAATTGACAACATCTGAGTTAACTGAAGGCACACCTGTGGATGTATTTTAAGGCTCACCTCAAACACGCTGCTTCCTTTATATGTCTTTTTATGCAGTGTGTGTAACCTCCTGGTTTCGACTGCCACAGGCAACTTATTGTTTATTCCTTCTAAACTACTATTCATAGTTTTAAAGGTTTATTCCACCCAAACAGTAGTTTTTAAAACTTTTTTTTTTAATCTAGCGAGTTATGGTTTTAGAGATATAGTCCATCCAAAATAATTCCTTTTTGTCTAAGTAGCCATTTATAGCTTAAAAACAAACTTATTCCACCTAAATTGTACTTTATCCATAGGTTTTAACAGGTTTTATTCCCCCCCAAAGGTGTACCTCATTCAAAATATTAGTTGTTCTTCTTGTTGTTTTAAAACATTTATTTCAGCCATATAAGACATTTAACTAATGAGTTTTGCTTTAAGAGGTTTATTCCACTCACATAGTAGTTTCAAACTCACAAGGTTTTAAAGGCTTACCCTACATCATCATATTTGTGCAGACATCTTCTGAGTGTTTGTGAGGATAAAACAGTTGTGCAACATAACAAAACTGTACTGTTTGAGGCAAAAAAAATCTCAGTTCCCATCCCTCGTACTGAACACCACCGAATAAACTACAAGCTGATGTCTCTAAACAATTTCACAAGTTGAAATGGTATTTTAGTTAAGCAACAATATTACTGCAAGATTTTGCTCAGGATCATCTCAGTATTATTTTTATAGGTAAAAGAAATTTACCTTTCTAATGAAATCTCTGTGGCAGCGCTACACATTTCTGCCGCTAGGTGTCAGCACACACTTCCCACTGACGCTCCTGTGATTCTCTTTCCTGCTGTTGTTGGGTACAGGCGTGTGATGCTTTCAAGTACTACATAAAAGCTTGGTTTTCTGACACGTCGGTAATAAAAACGGCTTTTCGTGACGTACTGGAAAACTCAACATACTCAAGAAGGTGTAAATGGAAGAAACAACAACGGACAACACAATACGAGAGAAAGTACTTGGTGCCTAAATGCAAAGTCAACTTGCATCCGCTCGATCACAGCTTTTGTTGAAGGAGAGACATTACTCGTCATTTTTTCACGTTCCTAAAACATGTAGTAAGTAAATACTGGTTATTAAGTGAGGTAACACACATATTCCCGCCACGTTTCCTAAAAAGCCACGTTAACCCGTCAAGTTTTATAAGTAAATACGATGAAAGTCGAAATGACACGAGAACCCTGAAGGCATCACCGGCGGCTCACATGCCATCAACACATTGCGTGTTGCTGGCTGCTAGCATTTCCACAACATGGGAAAGCAAAGTGACAGCATGCTGGTTATCCGTAAAGCCTAGCAAGCTGGAATGAAGACAAATCCATAGTTTGATTTCTTGTATTTGTTTAGTAGAAGCTGCCAAAATGGTGAAGGAGCAGTTCAGAGAGACCGATGTGGCCAAAAAAATGTGAGTATAACAGAGTGAGGAGCCCTGCTAGCTTGTTAGCTCGCCGGTTAGCCCCAGTCAGTGAGTGGCAGTGAGGGTATTGACAAGTTGTTTAGTGTCTTAACGTTAATACAGAGAGGCTGCAGTTGCCCCAACACACTGCCAGATAACTCATCTGTACTTACATTAACGCAGCTAGTTGTAGTCCTGTCATTGAACGTAACTAACTGACTTTTTGTTGAAGTTCATGGCGAATACTGTTAAAAGATTTAGCTCATGTAGTTGTTTTTGGCATATTAGCTACCAAGAAATTTAAACCAACCCTAGTCTTCTCTTGTAGTCATGTACCAACCAGTACTGAAGTCAATAGAACATTTTTAAAATACTTTTCTTGTGTGTTTTCCTCCCTGTCTGTTAAATGCATGTGGTCACAGCAGAGCTACATGTCCTGCTGTTTGGTGAAGCAGAAGTCAGATTGTTGTTTCCAGCTTGATATACTGACCCCTTCTTTGCTTCTCTGTTTGTACCACAGAAGCCACATCTGCTTTGGGATGAAATCCGCTGAGCAGATGCGTCAGCAGGCCCACATCCAGGTGGTCAGCAAGAACCTGTACAGCCAAGACACCAAGCACTCTCCGCTGCCCTATGGAGTGCTGGACCACCGTATGGTACGTATGGATACCAGGACGGGTTACTTTGGCTCGCAGCGACACAAGGGAACACTAGACACATAGTCAGAGTCATTTTTAATAATCCCCGCTGTGACATTGATCTGTAACTGTGGCTGAAATATCATATAATCATAAAACAACACATGAAAACAAGACAGTAAATGAATACAGTCTGGAGACTCGCAGCATCACAGTGGATGACGCCACATGTGGCTGCTGGATGAGCAAATGGAGGGATATTAACATCAAACGTGGCATGTACAAACTTGGCTGTATGTGAAACTTTCCATGACCTGTTCTATGAAGTGAGCTTACCAAATAAGCCAGGTTTACTTCAGTTAGCCTGACTTACTTTCAGGTTTTTTTGCTTTCACAAGGGAAATTCAATATAGTTCAAACCAATTACTCTGGCCACTTACGCAAAGTGGCCTGGTCCATGGAAACCATCAGGCCTGAATTGTTGCTTGAGTAGAGTTCCTCTATGGGAAAGCCAGGAATTTAGCCCTGACTCTCTGATGTGAGGCCATATTGTTTGACTTTATTACCTTTTTTTAGTCCAAGAATTGAAATTTAAACATAGTCAAAATACGCAATTAGCTCAGCTACTGAAACCTGTGTTGACTTATTCTGACTGTGTGAGCTTGAAGTGACCTTTGTAGGTTTATTCAAGTCAGATGTTGGATTTAAATCCCCACGTTATTTGTGCAACAAGTCCGAGGGTGGCACCATTTGTTGTTAATAAAAGCTTTCTTTGGCGCTCTTAGCTGTTTTTCCCGTCTGGCCGGACCGTCTAAAAGCCATCAATGGTAGCAGTAATATCCAGGATGATTCCTGCAGCTATCTCTGTGTGAAGCATGTGACAGTGCATTCAGGAAAGTGCCCTCTGTTCCTTGCAAGGGCAACAAACTCATCTGTCTTTTTGTCCTGTAATCTCACATGGCCCATGAGGATAGAAGGTAGATGTGGCTTCTGCTTCCTCTCCTCCATCAGTCTCTGTGGTCTCAGTGTCTTTTCCCTTTTGTTAAATCGATGCCAGACGTCTGTTGTCGTGGTTCTGCTCACCATGCAACAGTCGTGTCATTAGTATTAATGTGGCAACAAAAATGAGCAGAAATCTCCCAACCAGCATGTTAAAAGGTTCCACAGCTCCAAGACGTCCCCAGAAACAATCCAAACAAGTGTGATTAAAATGAAATAAGTTGAAAAAGTAGGAGTAACAGGCTGCATGCATAGTTGGCAAACTCAGTAACACCTAATCCAGGTGGGGTGAGTAGGGAGGTTGCTCCAGCACAGAGATGTTCTTCTCATCCAGGAGCTGTGGGATGCTCAGGGCGCTGTGAGCAGGTTGTCATGGTGAAGCAGCCTCCACTGGTCCTGACACAACTCTGCCTCTTCTGGATGAAGTGAAAGCAGCAGGATCTCTTTGTGCTGGTTGATGATCTGAAGGGGAAAACTCATAGTTTGGGTTTGATTCTACCTTTGTGACACCGGTCCTGGAGCTTTTCTGACGCACCTCATATTTAAAGGGAAAATCCATAAAAAGCAGTTTAACATTGTGTAATGTTGTCACTCATTTTAGCTGTGCCGTAACAGAATGTGTAATTCATCCTCATATTGCAGACTAATCCCTCTAATGTCGTGTTTCCTGCAGGGCACCAGTGAGAAGGACAGGCCCTGTCTGACATGTGGGAAGAATCTGGCAGACTGTTTAGGACATTACGGCTACCTGGACCTGGAGCTGCCGTGTTTCCATGTCGGCTATTTCAAAGCCATTATAGGAATCTTACAGGCAAGTTTACACTGTTTTGTGATTTCTAAGACTATATTATATGCATAGAAAACTTTAAGACTCAGGGTTTGGGCGACGAAAGCAGGTGATTGATAAAATCTGTATTGAGATCAACAGAAGTCTTATTGTGAAGGTGTTTGGAAAACAGCATGCAGGAAAACCGTTCTTCCTTTAGGTGTCACCAGAGTGTCAAAATTAAAACAGGCTGAGTTTCAAGAAGTGTAAATAAGCACATGTCTGTATAAATCAATAAGGTACAGCAAGTTAAAAGTTTTTTTTCTCTAACTTTCATATGTAGTAAATTTCTACAGTTACTGTTCACTGTATTTCTAAATGGTCAAACTATTTCAGCCGTACTTTTACTTTTCATTATATTCTGTGAGACATTCATTCATTCTAATTCAGTGTTTCTTCCTCAGATGATCTGTAAGACGTGTTCGAGCATAATGCTGACCAAAGAGGAGAAGCTGCAGTTCATGGATTACTTGAAGCGGCCTAACCTGGCCTACCTCCAGAAACGAGGGCTGAAGAAGAAGATATCCGACAAATGCCGCAAAAGGACAATCTGTCTCAGCTGCTCCGCTTTCAACGGTGAAAAGAGACGTTTGCCTTTTTACACATTTACTTGTCGTGTTCTGCCATCCCGCCTGGAGAGTTTGAAAACGGTGAGTCATGTGTTTGTTTTGCTCCTCAGGACCGGTGAAGAAGTGCGGCCTGCTCAAGATCATCCACGAGAAGTATAAAACAACCAAGAAGGTGGTGGATCCGTTCGTGTCAGACTTCCTGCAGTCCTTTGATACCGCCATTGAACACAACAAGCTGGTGGAGCCTCTGCTGACCAGAGCGCAGGTGAACTTTTTGCTTGTTCTACGTTTAGCGTCGCTTGTTGTGACGTGACCACTACTGAGCCTGTGAAAGGTCAGAAAGTACAGCAGAAGTACGGCTGCTTATCAGACTTCAGTGGCTTTCTGATAGAGTCAGTGTTTAAAGTTGGTTTTAAATAATATCACCTTATTTATTTATTATGATCAGTGATGTGTTTTCTGTAAATCAGGGGAAAATTTTATTATTTAATTACTTAACACAACCAATAACTGGCTTTTTTATGTTAAGTTTAGCCTGTTGTCCATCAGGTTATCCATCAGTGGTTAGCATTGTTGCCTCACAGCTAGAAGGTCGCCGGTTGGCGTCCCGGTGAGGACACCCGGGATCTTCCTGCGTGGAGTCTCCATGTTCTCCCCGTGCAGCGTGGGTTCTCTCCGGGTTCTCCGGCTTCCTCCCACAGTCCAGAAACATGCTGAGGTTAATTGGTGATTGTAAATTGTCCGTAGGTGTGAATGTGAGTGTGCTTGGTTGTCTGTCTCTAAGTGTAGCCCTGTGATAGACTGGTTACCTGTCCAGGTGAACCTGCCTTCACCCTGAGTCAGCTGGGATAGGCAAGCACGGGGAGAACATGGAGACTCCATGAATAAAGATCCCGGGTGTCCTCACCAGGACGCAAACCGGCGACCTTCTTGCTGCTAATCACCGATCCAGCTGCAGCCCAGTTTTGCAAAATGAAATAAGAAAATCGTTGTTTTATTCTGCAAACTAACTTGTGCAAATAAAGTGTTGTTGCAAGTATTATTTTTAAAAATATTAAAATTGGATTCATCTGTAGGTAGAAGCTCTGTACAACCCTATATTTTTCCTCCTCACCTTGATTTTAATTTGCGCTCTAGGAGAACTTGAACCCTCTGGTGGTCCTGAACATGTTCAAGAGGATTCCCCAAGAAGACATCCCCCTGCTGCTGATGAACCCCGAAGCAGGAAAACCTGCAGACCTCATCATCACCCGCCTCCTCGTGCCTCCTCTCTGCATCCGACCGTCTGTGGTCAGCGACCTGAAGTCTGGCACCAACGAGGACGACCTCACCATGAAGCTGACGGAGATAATCTTCCTTAATGATGTCATCAAAAAGGTTGGTATCTGCCACTGACGAGAACACATGATGATGTGTTTAAACTCTGTGTCAGCAGGCTGCTTAAAGACCTGGTGCTCTATTCTGAAAATGTAAAATTAAACAATAGATTTCTTTTAAAAGGAGCAAACAGCCAATATCCTTAACCGCTAGCAAAGGAAAACAAATCATTATTTAAGCAGCATTAATAAGTGACATTTAGCTCAATGTACAAGGAAGGCCAGAGGAGTTAAAATGTCTGACATTTTCCTAAAGTGCACTTTCAGAACAGCTCATTTAAAGAACTTTCTTTGCTAAAATGACCTTTTCAGCAAAGTCCAATCATCTAAACTCTGCTCAAGGTTATCATCCAATTCCTTCATCTAAAAGTTATTATTCAGCTTTGCTGCTATAAATGCAAATGAGGATGTCAGATGTCTTATCTGTGACCGAGGCAGCCCGCTTTAAGCAATCTCTCTTATCGTTCAGCATCGTATGACGGGGGCGAAGACCCAGATGATCATGGAGGACTGGGACTTCCTCCAGCTGCAGTGTGCCCTTTATATCAACAGTGAACTTTCTGGCATCCCCCTCAACATGGCACCGAAGAAATGGACCAGAGGCTTTGTGCAGAGACTCAAGGGAAAGCAAGGTGTGGTGTGTATTAAAATCAAGGATGTCTAATTTAGCAATCCATATTTTTTTGTAGTGATGCTGTAAGACCCAGAGTAGGAAATAAAATAACCCTGAATTACCTGCAATAGCAAACTAATTGCCTGTCAATGGAACTAATTAGGATTCAAATACACAGAATACTTATTCCAAACTGACTCGATATGTTCAGACAGTAGTTTTAAAGCGTTCTGACTGACTCTAATGGACACAGCATGTTTCTGTTGGCAGTTAAATGTTATCATCTCAGAGGTCGCAGCATGAATGACTGTAATCTCACACTCGGCAGGTGTTCATTTTGTACTCTGCACGTCCAATTCGACGAGAAAAGTATCTGACGGACTGATTTATTTCCTGTGACATCTCAGGTCGGTTCAGAGGAAACCTCTCGGGGAAACGAGTGGACTTTTCTGGCAGGACGGTCATTTCTCCAGACCCCAACCTGAGGATCGACGAGGTGGCCGTCCCCGTGCACGTGGCCAAAATCCTGACGTATCCAGAGAGGGTAACTCCACCTCCACGGCCGCCACAAATACACTCGACAGCCACTTCGATGTTGTCGCTGATGTCGCGTTATCTAAATTTAGGTAAACAAAGCCAACCTGGAGCTAATGAGGAAACTTGTGCGCAACGGTCCAGACGTCCACCCCGGAGCCAACTTCATCCAGAACCGCACCGCGCAGATAAAAAGGTGAGGCTGTCTGCCTACGGTAATAGCCGTGCATATTAGATGTGCTGTAAAAAAAAAGCTTCTTCTCTTTCTGTCAGATTTTTAAAATATGGAAACCGTGAAAAGATTGCTCAGGAGCTGAGGTTTGGCGACGTGGTGGAAAGGCACCTGATAGACGGGGACATCGTGCTCTTCAATCGACAGCCCTCTCTGCACAAACTCAGCATCATGGCCCACATCGTAAGTATTTGTAAAACCTGCGTACAAACCATAGTGGACAACTTTGCGAGCAACATTTAAAAACACCGTTGCTCTTTGCTTTAGCTTGTCCTTTCTCTTGTGTTCTCTAAAAACGTCTGCTCATGAGATTTTAAATTTCTGAAGGCGCTTAACGTTTTCCGTCTTGTGTGAAAAAGGGCTCTAGTTTCTCCTGTTTTCTTTAGCTCACATGTTCATTGCTACTCATGAGGATCCCTTAGTTAGTTCTAAAGTTTTGGGACTGTTTCGTAACGCTCACGCATCGAGAAACGTTTTTACAGAAGCTTAAACAAAGCAGACATCTGTACGCACTTCTTCTGTTCCCACATCCTACATCGTCTCTGATCGTCTGTTACACACCGATGAGACATAACTTCTACCACAGATTGGAACAAAATACATACCGGTGACAAATTAAATGAAAGACCTGAATAAATAACCGGAGAAACCAAACAAACCCAGATGTTTCCACGCAGGTGCACTGCATGGTACGATTCAGCAATTATCACCCGATGGTGCTGTGACTTGTATAGAAAACTAAAACAGACCCAGTTGATGCTAAACTTGTATCCGAATGGCGAGAAGAAAAGATCTGAGCGACTTTGAACAGGAGTTTATTGCGGAGACGCAGGTGGCAGGAATGTCAGTGAAGTGATCGTTGAACAGGAACACTGACTGCAGTGACTTCTGCATTTAGATATATGAGACAGACATTAATAAACAGGATCAGAAGTCTGTATATCGGCGACTTGTCAGGATGTGATCAGACTGTCGGTAAGAACTGGTTACGGTGATGATGTGGGTGGGTTGCGGTGCCTATTCCTCTCATTACAAAGATGAATTTGAGAAATCCAGGGTGCAAAAACCCTCGTTACTGGTCTTCAGGGAAATAAAGTTTGACCAGGTGAGTCATACTTCAGCATGTTTCCGACAGGTGGGAGTGTCTGAGCGACTTGTACACGTCTGAACACCTGTTGGCTCGACATTGAGGGCGTCCGTTGTGTTTATTTTGCTCGTCCACTTGTCGCCTCAGAGGGAAGCATCAGTGTGCGTCACTACGACGTGGTTCTGAGGGATTCTTCTACGGTGAAACGTTTCTGTCCTGATGGAAGTCAGTCACTGAATGTTTGACGAGGTTAGAAATGATGTGACAGTCTCCAGATCTCAACCAGATTGAACACCTGAGGTTTTACACAGCGATCTCCACCCCTATCATTAGTGAGGCAACATCTTTTGGAGTATTTCATCCCTGCAGTAGTGTCCTGCTGAGGCACATTGAAGCTGTTCTTTGGTCTCGGTGGCCCAGCGCCTCACTACAATACTTCATATTGGATTTTTTTTTCAAGTTTTTGTAAAGACTTTGCCTCAGTTTATTTAGAAACTGTCAGAAGTCTTTGTTCAGTTGCTTCTTTCTGTATGAAATAGATTTTCACATCTCTCACAGGCCAGAGTCAAACCACACAGGACGTTCCGGTTCAACGAGTGTGTGTGCACCCCGTACAACGCCGACTTTGACGGTGATGAAATGAATCTCCATCTACCTCAGACTGAAGAAGCCAAAGCCGAGGCCTTGGTCCTGATGGGGGTTCGTACTGTCACTTATCCACTTATCCAGTCGCACGTCCTTGTCAGTGTTGACGTCCGACAAAGAAAAGCTGTCGTCGGGAGCTGTATTGTTAAGAAACTGCAGGTTGACACAAATGATTATCTTTTTTTTTTCTGACAGACTAAAGCTAATCTTGTCACGCCGAGAAATGGCGAGCCTTTGATTGCGGCCATTCAGGACTTTCTGACAGGTCAGTGCAGTGACGTGCAGATCACAGCGCTCGCTTTTTGTACGAGAGGAAGTTTCTTCTGCTTGTAGTTTCTTGTGATTGATTAGAGCTGCAACAATTAAGTGGTTTTCAACTATTAAATTAATGTATAGCTGCTTTTAATTATTACACAGCTGGTTTGAGTATTTTCTCACAAGAAAAAAAATCTAATTTCTCTACTTCCAGCTTCTTAAATTTCACTGTTTTCTGGTTCCTTTGCTCCACTGTAACCGTAAACTGAACATCTTTAGGTTGTGGACAAAACCAGACGTTTCAGGGCATCATATTAATGTTTGGAAACGATGATCAACATTTTCTGACAGTTTACAGACCAAACAAGGAATCAATTAACGAAAACAGAATATTGAATCAGGAGAACAATCAGTAATTGCAGACCTTTATGTGATTAAAGTATTGTTTACTGCATATATCTGGAAAAGCAGGTATGAAGTGTGTTGTTCAGGGGCGAGGCTGCTGATGCTATATGAAAATGTTAATAAACACTAGAATAACATCAAGCAGTAAAAAGCATTGAATTATTCTGGAGTATAACATTGAATTGAAGCATGTTCCTTTTCTACCTGATGGTCAAGTCTACTTCCCACTGATGTAACAGCGCATTTCTTCCGCCTAGGGGCTTATCTCTTGACGCTGAAGGACACCTTCTTTGACAGATCCAAAGCCTGTCAGATAGTGGCCTCAATCCTTGTGGGAAAAGATGAGAAAGTCAAGATCTCTCTCCCCTGCCCGGCGATCATGAAGGTACACCGCTCTCACAAGGCTCTTACGTAAGTCCTTGTTTGTGACACACCGCTGATGTTCCTCCGTGTGTCCGGCAGCCCATCGCTCTGTGGACCGGGAAGCAGATCTTCAGCATGATTCTGAAGCCGAGCAAAGAATGTCCGGTGAAGGCGAATCTGCGGACCAAAGGCAAACAGTACTGCGGCAAGGGAGAGGATCTCTGTCACAACGACTCATGTGAGTCTCTCAACAAAGCAGCTTTTAGTGTTTTGTTATTTATTAGTAACCCAATTATGATTGAGGACACTGAGGTACTGCTGCTGAACTCATAAAGATATAAAACAATTCCAATTAATGCTTATTCACAGTCAGAGGAGATCTACAGATTGATAATATGGTCAGAACCACAGACTGTATAAAAGATGGACGTAGCTACCGTGACGTCACCCGTTGGTTTCTGCACTGAGAACAGGAAGCCAGGGTTTTGCTACTTCCTGGTTGACATCTTGGATTTTGCAAAAATCGTGGGAGGGGGGCGGAGCCACAGGAGCAGCAATTGGTCAGACGGATTGAGAGGCGGGCCCTCTCTGCCCCGCCCACATTTACCGCCTTCTGCTCGCTTCATCTGTATGGTCGCTGCCGACTGTCAATCAAGCCAGCCACGCCCCTTGCCCCGCAACATGTGGACGATTTTTTTAACGATTCAGTATTGATTTATTTTCAGATTGACCACCTGATCTCTGGATTTGACCATGAAAACTAATAAGAAAACAATCCTGAGCTGTAGGAATGCAGTATTTGGTGATCTGTGATCACTTCTTTTCCAGTTCCAGTCTATGGGAGCCAGGGCTTTGTGGAGCCAGCAGCTAGTGGACGTAGTGATGCTGCAGGTTTTTGTCACTTCCGGTTTGGCTTCATTTTTCAGGGCTGGTTGCTACGTCCATCTATTATACAGTCTATGGTCAGAACACATATAAAATGCACCGACCTGCGTTTCAAAGAGTTTGTGTAAACAGAACTGAACAGTACACATCCCATTGTGTTGCTCTGAGTATTGCAGTCATAATTTGTTCAACACAAGGTTGTAGAACAACTCAGTGGAGGCCGACTTCACCTGTCATGTCAGTAAACAATAATACTGCCTCACTAGTAGAATGTACGCAATTTTCTCAGTTATATTTCACAAAAAAAGATAAATAAACTTCCCCATACTGCCTTTCAGTGGGTTTTTTTTTTACTAAACTGAATGACTTCCAGCATTAATCAGTCAAACAGCGTCAGGCGCCTTCAGGCGACCGACACACTGCGTTTTATTTACCCTCAACATCCTGAGTCTAATGGTTTTGTCTAAACCTTTGTCACGTCCCCAGTCGTGGTGATCCACAACAGCGAGCTGATGTGTGGCAGCATGGACAAGGGCACTTTAGGATCCGGCTCCAAGAACAACATTTTTTACATCCTGCTGAGAGACTGGGGACAGCTGGAGGCCGCCAACGCCATGTCCCGCCTGGCCAGACTGGCTCCGGTGTATCTCTGTAGGTGGTCGCCCTGAAGCAAACACATTGGGAAATTTTAAATCCTTGGACATCAACAGGAAGTTCTAAAAACCAATCCAATGTGATATTTAATGTAATTTCAGCCAACAGAGGTTTCTCCATCGGAATCGGAGACGTGACGCCTGGACAGGGTCTGCTGAAGGCCAAGCAGGACCTGCTGGACGACGGCTACCAGAAGTGTGACGAATACATCGAAGCTTTGGAGACGGGCAAGTTGCAGCAGCAGCCGGGCTGCACGGCGGAAGAGACTCTGGAGGTAGGCGAGCGTCACGAGGTTCCTCACCTCTGCGTCTCGTTTATTCAGCCACACCAACACCTCGACACAACGCGACGTGTTGCTTCCATGTATTGGAACATGACACCAGTGGTGACTTATCAGCAGCGTGACTGACTGTAAATCCACCACACATTCAAAAGGTCGTACATTTCTATTAGAAGTAGGACCGTCGGAGGGGAAAAGGTCACTGATCAAAGGCGAGACTGTTGCTGAGAACCAAACTGCAGGGATGTTGATCAAGGACACAACTAACATTAGTTGCGACATTATGGGAGTTTTTAATCCCCCTAATATTGATACTGGCCTCAGAAATGCAGTCTGATGTAGACTGAATACAGGCTACACAGGCCACTATTCTCTCTAATAAACCTGCACACATGATGCTAAAAGATATATAAGAGCCACGTTTGCACAACCTGTACGAAGGTGATCCAACAAAACCTGACACCAGATCCACAAGCTTCTGTTTCATAAAGTCCTTTTCATTTTAGTGGATCCCCTTGAAATCCTGCCTGAAACTCTGAGCATTGTTGTTCCTCTGAGATTTCCCTTTAATACGTCGAGTTTTATTGAACGCTGCGTTTCATCTGGTGTGGTTTGTCGCGGCTGGATTACGGGCCGGTGTGTCGTCTCCCCGCTCTGTTCCCCACATTTCCTGTATATCCACATAAAAAATAAATAAGGTAGCGAATGCTTAAAAGCACCGGGCACAGTTACTGCAGAGCACATCAGAGAAAAGTCGTTCCTTAACTCTACCGAAGTTCATGACCAATTTTAAACTTTCCGATCCGATCTTGGATTACCTCTATCTGTCAGAGGAGCGCTCAGCGACAACAAACAGTCAAATCCTTGCTGCTTTTGTGGTCTCTGAAAGGCCTTGATGTCCTGTAGCTGAATACAACACACGAACCAGGCAGTCGACTGGGACAAACAATTCTGACATCTTCATTTTCCTGTTTTTAAAAAAATTTGGGTTCTTCTTTTTCGTCTCTTAGTTTGTTGCAGTAAGAGAAGAAAAGAGTTTCCCTGTTTGTGTATCAAGGTTGTTGTTTTTTGTTTGTTTGTGTTGTTCCTACAGGCTCTCATCTTGAGAGAGTTGTCAGTAATCAGAGACCGAGCCGGCAGTGCCTGTCTCAGGGAGCTCGACAAAAGCAACAGTCCTCTGATCATGGCCCTCTGCGGCTCCAAAGGTAAGCCGGCTACGAGGAAACCAAGACTAACGAGGATTTTTTTGTAATTGGCCCATTCCTTTCTGAAAATATGGTCTTTTTGTGAACGCGGAGGATGAAACTGGGACAACCCACAGCAGGAGCTCGAAAGTCATTTTAGGATTGGACTCTTAACATTTAACCCCGCGAATCCAAAAACCTGCAGAGAGCTTTGATAGCGTGCTATTCCTGGAAAACGATCACCGAACTTCCATCTTCAGTCGTCTGCTCATTGGCAGTGTGCTGTTCCAATCCTGTATCCAGACCTAAGCTTAAAATAGTGAGAATTTACCAGAATCACTTCCTGTTACATGTCTCATTTAGAAGATAGAAGATTGGCATTAAAACAACATTTGCAGTAACTATGTCTTGTTAAAAAAGCAAAACAGTTTTTGTGAATTCATCAAGGAAATCTAACTTTCAGTTTTGCTTTCTTATGGTTTATAGCATTATGCTTACATCACACTGCACAAAGACGTGTTTTATTTCTCTCTGCTTTTAGCCGTGCTTGTGTTGTTTCTGTAGAGGTGCTGGACTTTTATATGTCAGTAGAAAATGACCCTGTACCCAGAAAATGCTTCGGGTTCAGAGGGTGAAAACACTTTAGTTGTCAGTCTAACGAACCCAAGTGTAAAGTAGATGACATCTGACTCCCACTTCTCTCAGTGAGCGTTGGTAGTTGGAACACTTGCAGAAGTTTTTCATTCATTTGAGTCTATTAGGTGGTGACCTGACCTCAGAACATGGAAGGTAGAACCCGGTCGACACGCGACGAAGGGAAAATAAAGTTTTGAAGAGTTCTGGGAGAGAAAACGACATTCACGTGTTACAAAGTGCCTTTTTGTTCACGTGTCTGCGGTCGTGGGTAAACAATAATGGTACTCTAGTAAAAGTACTGTTACTCTATAATATAATGACTCAAGTAGAAGTACAAGTAGTCATAAAAATCAGTACTTGAGTAAAAAAGTCGTGATTAACTTCAGATGCAGTTTATTACATATATGCCAGAAGAACGGGGCCACGAGCATCTGGGCCTGTGGAGTCTGTAAAGGCCTCACATGCAGGGTCCGTGGAGAGCCGGGCCACACCTCCGTCCACCTGCGGTGCTGCTGCTGCTGTGATTGGTTAATGCAGAGCAGCAGAGCTGCGTCTGAGCTTGTCTGAATTTCTTTATAGATGAATTAATGTGACGACAAGCATGTAGCTCGAAGTAATGGAGTAAAAGTATAGACATTTCCCCACAAATTTACTCGAGTAAAAGTATTCTGCAAAATAACGACTCTTAAAAGTACAATTTGTCAAAAAAAACAAATACTCAAGTACATGTAACGGAGTAAATCTAACGCCTTCCTATCCACCGCTGCGTATCTGACTGTAAAGACAATTCAAGGGCTTAACGGAGGAAAAACGCTGAATCACCAGAACAGGCAAAGTTTGTCAGGTCTGGAAGCTCTGCACTCAAAGTGTAGATGGAAAAATGTTCTCCGGAGAAGGCTTTGCATGGACTAGTCTAGCAGCAATATCAGTATGATTTGGCTTAAAAAACATGGACAGAATTTAACTTAATGTGTCGAGGCAGCAACGCTAGAGATGACTCAGCACATGTTTTAAAAGAGGCCAGTAAAAAATGTCTGCCTCGGTCGGCCGGTAAGGACGCAAAACATCGGACACTGAGATCTGAGCAACATCATATCATTTGTGATGTTACGTTTCTGAGTAGTTCGTGTGTAATATTTAATTTCCGGGTCTAGTATTTCAATTTCATGTGCAATATTTCATTCTCATGTGTGATATTACCTCAGTGTCATACTTTTACTTTTTCATCCTAGTCTTATATTAGCTTATTTCATTTTCATTTTCTCTCATACTTGCGTCTTATTGCTTTTCTCCAAAGCACTGCATTTCTTCTGTTGCCGGTTTGTTATTTCTGAGCAACATCTGGCAAAAAACCTTCCTTAGGGATGAATAATATTTCATCTTATCTCTTATCTCTCGTACTCTTTTATGGGAAGAACAGCATTCATCCAAACGTTGTCGTCTCAACTTGAAGACAGTAACTTTAGTGGTTGGGACAGTGGTTTAGTCGGGTGTGTCGGAAAAGCAAATCTTCAATCTTTTAGGTGATTGTGTCAAAATGGAGTAACTGGCTGATGGTTGATCCAACAAACTGTGAATCAGTGCTGATGACACACACAGTACGCCAATTAGAGAACCTGACAGATTGTTGTTTTCAATGTACAACTGCAAAAAGATTATTATTTCATTACATCTGGTGATGTTCTTCCCACTAATTTATTTAAAAAGTCTGTCTATAACAAGTCAAAGTAGTGAAAACTGTACATCATTGTTTACTCAGGCCTAAAGTTGTGTCCTCAGGTTTCTCGTGCTGAACCAAAAGCACAAAACTCAAAGATATTCATCGCACAGGCGTCCTGACAGCCTGGTGGTTGAAGCTCCACAGAGTGATTGTGTTTATCCCTGATGGGGTTCATTATCACGTGTTTCCTGTCAGGACGGGAAAAAAGCCCCAAAAACACTTTTGCTGGATCAGCGGCTCTCAAACTTTTTGAGCCACGACCCCCAAGATACCGTACGTTTGTGTTTGTGACGCCCCAATTTGAATTTTTAATATATCATGAATAATAAATTTGTGGTTCAGGCATTAATGTGTTAAAAATGAATGTGTTAATTCCACAGATTGATCTCTTTACATTAGTACGTTCATTTTCTTTTGAATGAATGAATGAATTGAATTTATTGCGAACAGATGAAGGGAAAAAAAAAACCTATAGAAAATAATTTTAAAAAGAGCAAAAAAGAATAATAATAATAATATGGCATAATCAAATCATAATATTAACAAGTCTGAAAAAGAAGAAGTGTACACTTTTAATTTAGACAGCCCTGATACACATTTATTTGATAAATGTAGGCTTTATTTATTCTTTTTTTTTTTTTTTTAATAATAATCTGGCGACCTCCTGAAATTATCTTGGGACCGAATAATAAACGAATAATCTGTTAACAAAATTGTTCATTGAATTGAACATTTTTAGCATCAGAAAAACATTCATTTGTAATGATTTTTATTATCAGAATAAAACCAAGAATACAAACATCCAGAACAACCTGGGTCATTCGTAGCGCGGCTGATCTATTGATCGCTTGTTTGCTTATCAAACGTGACTCGGCAGCTCGTTGTCGTTTTCACTTTTCTATTTTTACCAAACTCATTGTCTGAGCTGTCCTCATGAGAAAGGGCGTCTCACTTGCAGCGAGTGTTAGCCGTATTGTGTGCTTCGTTAGGATATAAATATTAATTTAAAGGCATTATGAAGCTGTTGTCCATCTAGAAATACATGGAATTGACTTGGTTTGCTTGATTGATGCAACATGTGAAACCTTTGTGTGTGTGTTCTGTGTCCTGTGTTGTCATTATTATTCATGTTTTGTTGTTGTGTTCCTCCCTTTTAATCTGTCCCCTCTCTATACATGCAGGATCCTTCATTAATATCTCTCAGATGATTGCCTGCGTGGGCCAGCAGGCCATAAGTGGATCTCGAGTACCTGATGGTTTTGAAAATCGCTCCCTGCCTCACTTTGAAAAACACTCCAAGGTAAGATCTATTATTTCATTAAATTATTCCTGATATCCCTCAGAGGGATCGTACACACTGTATTCTGTTTCTGGGACAAACTGTCAGATTAATTACTGCTGCAGAGCTTTTGTAAACGGCGTCAGCGTGCTTCAAGCTCGCTGTCCGCTTTATCGTATTTAATTATTTGAATTTTGAATTGTTTGATTAGAAGCGTGGTGTCACATCCAGGTCTCACACTGAGCTCCAACGTGCTGTGAAACTCATTATTTACGATTGTTCATCGCGTAAAGCTCAGTGTTCGATTGGCTAAACTAAAAAGCATTCTGTGGTGTTTTATCTCAAACTAGACAACAGCACCAACAGCAGACACGTTTCACACGTTTCTGGAGCAATCAGACGCTTGCTTAACGGCTTGATGGTCTCTCCACAGCTGCCTGCTGCGAAAGGCTTTGTGGCCGACAGCTTCTATTCTGGTCTGACACCCACAGAGTTCTTCTTTCACACCATGGCAGGCCGAGAAGGTCTGGTGGACACTGCGGTGAAAACTGCAGAGACCGGATACATGCAGGTACAGTCTGTGGATTTTAATCACCCCGCTGTTTTCTCCGCTTGCCGTGATGACGTCAGACGGCTGAATGAAAGCAGATGCTTGTCTGCTGTACCCTGTCAGATCTGTATTGTCTGTCCGGTGGACTTTTGTGTCCATCTTTGTGTGTTTGTGGGTTGTTATGAAGTAAGTGACTTTAGGTGGCAGCTGTTCTGGTCCACAAGCTGTTTAATTGTATGCAGCCAACAAAAACACCTTCAAAGCAAAACACCAGGCTCCTGCATAACTCAAATCCTACCATTTTTTATGCATTAAAATAGTAGGATTTGTGTCAGAGATATATTCAAATAGGGACTGCAAGGTGGTGCAGAACTGTTGCCTCACAGCAAGAAGGTCGCCGGTTGGCGTCCCGGTGAGGACACCCGGGATCTTTCTGCGTGGAGTCTCCATGTTCTCCCCGTGCAGCGTGGGTTCTCTCCGGGTTCTCCGGCTTCCTCCCACAGTCCAGAAACATGCTGAGGTTAATTGGTGATTGTAAATTGTCCGTAGGTGTGAATGTGAGTGTGCTTGGTTGTCTGTCTCTAAGTGTAGCCCTGTGATAGACTGGTTACCTGTCCAGGTGAACCTGCCTTCACCCTGAGTCAGCTGGCATAGACTCCAGCCCCCCATGACCCTGGTGAGGATTAAGGTGTAGAGATGATGGATGGATTGATATATTCAAATAGACAATCAGTTATAATTATATTGTCAAAAATAAAGGACAGTTGCAGTTACACATCCGCAGCACTCCAGATGAACCCCTCACTGTTAATTGTCCCCAAACAAAAGTGCAAACTGAATTAATCAGCTACTTTGCTCTCTGCAAGTTAAATTTCCATTAGTTTGAACACTGAAAAACATCCATCAGGACGGCGTCTCGTATAAAATACCCACTTGGACCCGGAGAACTTTTTCACGTTTTCTGTATCCTCGTCTGTGTTCGGACAGAGACGTCTGGTGAAGTCTCTGGAGGATTTGTGCTCGCAGTACGACCTGACGGTACGCAGCTCCACCGGCGACATCATCCAGTTTATTTATGGCGGCGACGGCCTGGACCCGGCTGCCATGGAAGGAAAGGATGAGCCGCTGGAGTTTAGGAGAGTTCTGGACAACATTCGGGTGAGTTCAGTTAGTCGCGTGCAGGCAGGAAAGCTCGTTGTTGTCTTTCTGGTGTTGCTGTTTAATTCCTTTGACAACGTGCACACATGCGTCCCTGCCTGCACTACTTTGTGAACGCCAACAGACGTACAAACCAGCTGATTATGTGGCGCTCACATAACACCTGTTGTTGCTGCAGTCACACTTCAATAACCGTCTCGTGTTTTTGTTTTGTTCGGTCGTTTAGGTGCCATATCTCACCTTCTGTGTTTTTGCTAATATTTATCCCGCTGCCTTTATCTAATTTAATACAAAACAAATCTACAGAGTGAACTTCTCCCAAACCAGAAATCATTACTTCCCAGAGTGAAGCCTTCTCGCAGCCTCGCCTGGATGAATAAAGATTAAGGAATCAATCGTCCCCGCTGCTTAGGCTCAGCAGGAACAACACTGGGCCCGGTCGATCATAATCTCACATCAGTCGGGGATTTCATGCTTTTTTATTTAAACAACAATCACACTGGGATTTGCTCTGTCTTTTAGCATCGTCTCAGCGTAGCTTCAGGGAAGCCTCCCAAACATGTGTAGAGCCGTTGATGCTGGACGGATGCTCTCCCGCCGCTGCCAGCCTGAGACGAAGCTCTTTGGCCGAGAAACTCCCGTGAAAAACAAACGGGAGCTGAATGGTTGAAATTACAGCCAATTAGCAGCATTCCAGGCGCTGGTTGATTGCATGAAATTACAGGGATCTTAAATCCATTTTCTCTGCGGAGAAGTGGTGCAGTTAGTGAAGGGCGGATTCTCAGAGTTGGTTTTCTCGGTTGTTTTGATTGTTTGCTTTCCGGTTTACTCAGTCTGATTAGCAGCATTGATGTCATTGGCTTGTTATGTCACTACAGCGAGAATCTGATGTGTATGGAAATCACAACAGGCTGGCAGGATTCTCACATTTACTCTAAATACAAGGATAACAAGTCACCGTAGTTAGTGTTTCCTGGTGCTGTTAGGGTTCAGGTTAGCTAACTAGCTAACGGTGAAGAGTTGTGATTGTTAATGATTATGATCACAATCCTATGAATAAGAGTCTTTTTTTTTTAATATAACTGTAATCAAGAGTAAATTGGCCGCGGTCTCTTGGCATTTCTCTATTTTTCTGTATTTTGATTAGCAAATGCCAAGTGTGTGGAAAACAATAACCAAACCTTATTTACAAGAAAAGGTTGATCTCTGCAGGAGATAACTCAATTTCATGATCAAGCAATGCCAGTGGCTTTATGGGCTGCAGAAAATAAAAGAACGACAAAGGAAATCAGACATCACGAAGCGGTTCATTACGTGTTCGTCCGTCTGTCTGAATAAATTCACACTGAAGCGTCGCCTTCTACATACAAGGAGCTGTGATTGCATGTAATGGTTGCAAATGTTTGATTATATGTTCACAGAACCACCAGCCTGTGTGTGTAGATCAGAATGAATATAATTGGTGATCCTGTATGTGTTCCCCTTCTCCAGGCGGTCTATGCATGTCCAGATGAGCCTGCACTCAGTCAGAACGAGCTGGTCCTCACTGCAGAAGCCATCATGAAAAGAGCGGATTTTCTGTGCTGCAGAGACAGCTTCCTGGAGGTAACTTCATCACCGCACAGCACTGTCCATTTTCTAATTAAGAAAAGCTCTTAGTAGTGCCATGGACTTATGAATGTTCTTTCTTTTTATTTCTACGACGGAGTAGAGACAGTATAGGAGCGAAATGCGTTTTTGAATCATGTAGACCGACTCACAAAAGGCAAAGTGGTTCCTTAAGTGCTTTGACGTATAGCTGATGAATATAAAAACCCGACTAGAAAGCCTCAAGAGTTCAGACCTCGGCCAAGTTGGAGAAGAGAAAGTGGTAAAGAAAAAAAAACTGTGGAGGTGCTCACTGTATTTACTGACAAATAAGACAAACTTCCAGCTTCTCCACCAGAAGCTAATCGGTCTTATATAAGCTTATATAACGCCTATGGTACACAGAGAAGATTATCACACCTCCTGTGAACCACAACCACATAATAAGTTCACAGAAAAATGCAATTACGGGTGTCCTTTAACTCCATGTGTCCTCGTTAGCTTTTAACGATGCTCTATCATGGGAAACAACATGCAAATTATTATGAAAGGTCATAGCTAATTACGTGCTGTTGATGGGATGTGCTGGTTGTAACACGTGAACCTCTCCTTCCTTTTGTGAAGGAATTAACTGACACAGGCTCAGAGAAATACCTGGAGGTACAGTTACCAAGCATGCTGGAGTGTGGTTTAGCTGGACTGGGAATGGTGTGCCAGAGATTCGAACCAGATGGTTTAATACTGAATAACCCTGTTGTCGCTGCTCATTGATGCTCCAACATCTGAGCTCTCTGTTTAAAGCATTGCTGATGTTTTCAAACTGAATGTGTTTTACTGAGATGTCTAACCAGTGCATGACGGTGTGTCATGTGGCAAACAGTCACGTTTTACAATGAAAGCTAATGAAAGCTTAGAATCTGACATGTATTCTCCGCCTCCCGTAGGAGATAAAGAAATTCGTTAAGGGCATTTCAGAAAGGATCAAGAAGACCAGAGACAAGTACGGCATCAACGACAACGGCACCAGTGAGGTGGGACCAACGCGATGTGGTTTACTGAAAGCAGTAACAGTCTGAAGTGTGCATCTGAATCTTAATCGCTCTTCTTTCTATCACAGCCAAAAGTTCTCTATCAGCTGGACCGCATCACTCCCACGCAGCTGGAGAAGTTTCTGGAGACCTGCCGAGACAAGTACATGAGGTACGAGACTCTTGTTCATGTGTTTGTCTGAGGCTCGTTATTTTTTTTGTTACCCATTCCGGCACCATGTCGGTCACTCAAAATATGCCTCAGGAAGTAGAACGCAAAGAGAAAAATAGGGAGCCGTGGACTGTATAGAAAAGATGGACCTAGTGAGAGCTACGCCGCCTGTTGGTTTGCGAACAGCTGTTTTGAAGTCTTGAGTCTGGCATTTTGCTGTTTTGGTCTTTTGAAACCAGACAAGGATCTGCCTGCAAGGCAGCAACCCGGTAATCACAAGGTAGCCTCACCCTACAGCATACCTTTCTTTATCTTTTCTGTTTTACTCTGAAAGGGGCCATAACTTCCCAAATGAAAACCATGCTGTACTGAATGAGACTCGACACTAACAACTGAGACCATAAACTCGTCAGGAAAATGTTTACTTAGGCAGCAAATCCAGTGAGAACTAGGCTCGATTTCTTATTGACTTTAATAGTCTGACTTCATGACCTCAGGCTCTGCCCCCTGCTGGCTGTTAGACAGAATGCAGTTTGAGGTTGGTTCACTTTTCAAACTTTCAGGCTCCGTCGATTTTTGTTTACAGTCCGTGGGAAGAACTGAAATGAGGTGTGATGATGCTGCAGAATCCCTCTAATGAAGTAAAGAACAGTATATGAAGGTTTGCACCAAATCACGTCGAGACCTTTTACTCAAAACAACACATGGGTGCACTAGAGCAGCGGTCTTCAACCTTTTTTGCACCACGGACCGGTTTTAAGCAAGGAATTTTTCTACGGACTGGTTGTTACACACATAACAAATAATTGTTTTTTTTTTCTATTGAAAAGTTTCATAAATATATAAAATTAATTTTTATTGCTTAACATGTTTACTTTTTCTTCTGTCTCAGTATCGAGTCTCTCCCACTTTCCAAAGCAGCTCTCCTGAGACGTTTGTTGTTGACTGACGGCTTCGTTTAGCAGCCGGGCATAAAAACTAACAGTCAAGCGCGGGAAACGAGCACAAACGGAAGTGACGGGAATACGAGCTAGTCATGTTTCAAAATAAAACACCCTGCAGACTCCGCTGAAAATAAAAATAAACCAATAAAATGTTTTTATTCTATCTGTGCGGCCCGGTACCAAATGACCCACGGCCCGGTACCGGTCTGCGGCCCGGTGGTTGGGGACCGCTGCACTAGAGCACAAGTCAGGAAACCCCAAAGTCAGGTGGCTTGAAAATCAGGAAACTATTAATATTTGCACTAAATTCAATTGCAGTCTGTCTAATAGTTGTTGAATATCTTATTCTGAGCCACAGCAGTGGAATGAGCAGCCGACTCACACAGTTACGTCACCGTTTAACTCAATTTCTGTCCTGTATATTTGATTTTTTAAAAAAGCTTCCACGTGAGCACAGAGCTGTTAATGTTAGTACGATGAAATTTCACCTGTCATGTAAATGAATGTCGACTCAGCTCAGAGTCTGATCCTCCTAATGCGTTCACAGAGCCCAGATGGAGCCGGGCTCAGCAGTAGGGGCCCTTTGTGCTCAGAGCATCGGAGAGCCCGGCACTCAGATGACACTGAAAACCTTTCACTTCGCCGGTGTGGCTTCGATGAACATCACTCTGGGGGTGCCTCGCATCAAGGAAATCATCAACGCTTCCAAGAACATCAGGTATGTAATTACAGAGACGGTTATGTTCCCTCTGTCGTTTGGTCATAGGAGAAAAGATGAAGCTGGTTGGTTCTTCAACATCAGCGTCGTCTCAGCATGTCTGGAAATTGTTCTGCCGTATGGAACAACAACTTATTTACAACAACCGTCTCCTTAAGTGAATAGAGGCCATGGTGTGCTTGACAATTGCTGCTGAGCATCACTGCTGAGCTTCGCGGCTCTAAAGCTCCTGAGCCACATTTATCAGAGCACAATATTGATCACGGCTGCAGAATCAGCTGTCTTTGAGGCACGGTGATGAATGTATTCCTAATTTGTTGTGAATAATCTATTGAAAGCTCTCCTCTCACCACTCAGCACCCCCATCATCACGGCTCACTTGGACGTGGAAGACGACGCGGACTTTGCCAGGCTGGTGAAGGGGAGAATCGAGAAAACCCTCCTAGGAGAGGTATTCCAACCTGCTTTTTTCCCCTCCACCTATTGTTAGTAAATCAGTGCCATCAGATAAAAGAAACAGCCTAAGGGACACGAGAGGGTCCAGAAGAGGAATTGTGTGAGAGGTGTAATAAAGCCAGCTTCTCTTGCTGTTCTCTGTAGATTTCTGAGTACATAGAGGAGGTCTTTCTTCCCGACGACTGCTTCATCCTGGTGAAATTGTCACTGGAGAGAATCAGGCTGCTGCGACTGGAGGTACCACGACTTTCCTACTGTTCCTGCTGCTGTGTGTAAATATTTTAAATGCATCTCCTTCTCCTCTTCCCCACCTGGACTCAGATTTATTCACCGTGCGTCTGAGCTTTGTCGCTGGTCATACACATTGTTTTGCAGCCTTATATTTCCTGTCTGCCTTTTTTTTTGTTATCTAAAAGACAAAATATGCCAGAAGTATTATTTTAAATCCACACACCACCACAACAAACGATAACAGTTTTAATTAGCTGGGCCATAACCCTGAATGTGTGTAATCTTGAAAGAGAAATAATTCCACTTACAAATTATAGGTTTAATTCACAAGAACCAAACCTAATTAAGCAGGTGTTGATAATTAACAAACGAGACACCGCTGTGTGACTTTAACAGTTTTCTGCTTGAGCTGCAGTGAAAACATGTTTTAGTTCTTAATAAAGAAAGACTAAACGCACAACATCCCAGTGAAGGACACTGTTGTTGTTTTCTGCATGTGGTCCGTTAGTCAGGCGGTCCGGTGGCGACGCTTTTAAAACGTTTGACATTGCCTGAAATGTACTTCTTCTCATCTTCCCCGGGGTTGGAAGAGAAAATTAAAACCACTTCAGCTTGTACATTAAATATGAAGCTACCGCCGCCAGGAGCTGGTCGGCTTAACTTCACACAAATGTAGAAGCAGCCAGCGTGGCTTTTGTCTGAAGGTAAACGTTCACCTAGAGGCAGCTTTAAAGCTTTCTGGTTTTATTCTGTAGTCGTTTAATCCTTACATAAACCAAAGTGTACAAACAGCTTATTGGGTTTTAGAGGTGCTGCTGGACATCTTTAGAGAAAGCCCGACGAGCTGTTTCCAGTCTGACCAACTGCTGCTGGTAGCTTCAGACATGAGAGCGGTTTCATCTTGTTATTTATAAGAAAATATAAAAGAAATCAAGGCAGCTGACTCAAAAGAATTCTGCAAGTAAATTCAGTGACTGTTCAGCAAAAGTTAAGATTGGAAAGACAATTCCCGTGGAGGCCGTCACATTAAAGCCTAAACTCTCCATGAGAGATGGACTGAGCCTCCGGGAAGCCAACATGAAGGTGCCTTAAGCTTGTATTCTTTCTAGTGGCCAGCAGGGGGCGACATCTCTGGTTGCAAAAGGAAGGCCGATTGTATAGAAGTCAGTGGGAGCACGAGTCTACGTCTCACTTGACGTGTTACCTCACTGAACATTTTCCTGATTAGTTTCTATGTTTCAAGTCTCTGTCAACACACATTCTGCTCATTTTATTATTTTGGTGGCCTGCTTTAAGTTTTCCAGTCTCATCTAGCGCTCACTCGACACAACCGGTTTCAAAAAAATCAAGACGGCGACGACCGAGTGCCAAACTCGAGGCTTCAAAATGTCAGCAGACCGACGGGTGATGTAACGGTGGCTGTGTCCGTCTTTATGTTCAGGCTTTCCATTTGAGTAGTGATGTGGTTACCATGGATACAAAGATAGGCAAGACGGAGAACACCATCGTTCTCTTCTTTTGAACTACTCAACTCCTGAAGTCTTTGTTCCGCTACGTAACGCAATGTATGGAAAGTCTGCTTTAACAACAGCAGAGTGCTCACGCGTCCTTGTGCGTTGCTTATGAAGTGTAATAGAGAAATGCCTTTGAGCCGCCTGCTAGGAAAAACATCGGGGGCTTTGTTTTCCATTCTTTTTTTTCTCTTTCAGGTAAACGCAGAAACGGTGCGTTACTCCATCTGCATGTCTAAACTACGAGTGAAACCCGGAGACATCGCGGTGCACGGCGAGGCGGTGGTGTGTGTGTCTCCACGAGAGAACAGCAAGAGCTCCATGTACTATGTGCTGCAGTCACTGAAGGAAGATCTGCCCAAGGTGAGAGTCTCACGTCACACAAAACAGAGATTTTTATGCATGTGGATAAAATATGAATTTTCAATCTGGATTTTAAGCTTTATTTTTCTAATCCTGAAGCACACACCTTTACCGAATAGATACTGCCGCTGCTTTTTTCTTAGGAGGCTGCTGACCTCCAGAAAATGTAAATGTAGAAAATGCAGCCTACCTACTTTGTCTGCCTTTTTGTGATAAACAAGTAGTTTGCAGTGGAATTATATCACTGAAAACAGCTTCCTGCTGCTGCTAGATAGGAGTCTGCTGAGAGCAGTGAGTTAGTGAAAATGGCCCAATTATGGGGCTCCAAAACTTCAGTGTCTAGAAAGCTGAAATGTCAGAGAGAGCTGAAAACCTCTGCAAAGTCAGTTGACAGCTCTTTACACATGACATTTTTATCTTTTGTGTTATTTCTGAAACGCTGCTCAGTAAGACTTTTTAAAAAATGGAGAAAAATCTCTGTGCTTGGATGTTAATTTAACTTGTTCTCTTAAATTTAGACTAAAGTGGAGGAGCGCCTGTGTTCATCAGTAAAACGTACGCCGTCCGTTAGCCGCTGTTTCTGTTTTTTATTAACAACGATCTCATTTCTCGCTTCCCAGGTGGTGGTTCAAGGAATACCAGAGGTCGCCCGAGCAGTCATCCACATCGACGAGCAGAGCGGCAAGAACAAGTACAAGCTGCTGGTGGAGGGCGACAACCTGAGAGCGGTCATGGCAACCCACGGGGTGAACGGGAGCAGGACCACCTCGAACAACACGTATGAGGTATGAGTCACCGTCCACGCTTTAGCCTGCACGCGTCCGTGTTTTGATTCAGCGCCCGCCCTGCAGCCGTCGCATGAATTTTAATACCGAGTTAGTTTCCTCGACAGGCGGCGTTCTGCAGGCTGACCTGCTTTTGCATAATTGGCGTGACACTTAAGTCGGTGAATAAAATTGAGGTCAAAGCACTTTGAGGTAGATTCAGTAAAAAGGAGCCTGTGTTTGTGTTTTTTATGGTATATTTTTGACAATTGGGTTATAGACACCTGCATAAAACTGATGCCAACAGATAAGCCAGACGGTAAATTCTAATGATGTTTTAAATACCGGAGAGAAAAAACTGTTTTGTCATTTTGGGGGTGATAGTTTGTTGTGATGTTAAACTGGATCCACAATATTTCTCATCATGACAAATCATGAATTATAGTTATAATATAATATAATATAATATAATATAATATAATATAATACTTTCCAACTTTGGCCTACAGTAGTGTGATTAGGTTCATCTTGTCTACTCTGATTTTAGGTATCTGGTTTCTTTTTTATCAGACGAGTATTTTTTTAGACAGGAGCTGTTTATACCTTTTGACATATTCCGGCTGTCCCTCCAGTCTTCCTCAGAAGCGTCCCTGACGTCTGTGATGACGAGTCTCTATCAGCTGCTGGTTTCCTGGAGGCGTGGCCTGTCTGGAGATCTGTCAGATTTGCCCGACAAGCCACGCCTCCTGCCGCCCGGTGGTCTCTGCAGGACAGCGTCCTGTGTGTGGGGCAGCATGATGCCCCCTCATCACGGTTCATGGTGTCTTCGGCTCGCCTCCTTGATGCAGTGTTTAAATTCGTTGCTCTCCGATGCGATGGTCTTTGCCTTGTGTCGGTCCGTGATGTGCTCGTTTCTTTCGCAGTGGTCTGATTTTAGGTTCACCTGTTCTGCTTTGTTTTCTTTTGGTGATCTTGTGGCCTACGAGATCACATGAAGCTGCTTTATAGCAGGACAGTTCTACTGAGTAAGGAGCCTCTGCAGAACACAAGTGGACCTTCTACAACACCTTTGACAGTTGTGGCACGAACACTGTTGTCCTGCAGAGACCTCCACTTCCTGTACCTGGGCTTTGCTTTATGGTCTTTTAGGAGTCCCACAGACGGTCCCTGCTGATCTGAGTCCAGGTTATTTATTATTGAATTACAGCAAAGGTGTCTTCATCGACTGCGCTGGTTTCTATTTTATGTTCATTCTTTTACTGCTGTGACTGGATCGATGCTAAATGGGATTCTGAGTGGAGATAACAAGGTCCCAGTAACCTTGAAGGAACCGTCTTGACTCATGTGATCTTCAGCTTCTGCCGTCTGCTGTGACTTACACCTGTACTTCCTGTGCTTCTTTGTTTATGACAGTCTTGTACGTCCCATATTGAGTGTTTTGTGTGTATTTTATAACCTCCACAGGCTTGAGCTGCTCTTACAGAGCAAGAGAAATGACAGACTGTGTGAATGTCACTAGAGCAGAGAGCTGGAGGTAGCAGATAACCGATGTGTTCAGTCGATGTTCTGTTTGTCACGACAGCAGTAGCCGCTGCATTTATATCTATATATTTACATATATACAGTTTGTATCAACTGATGAGTGTTAGAGGACTGATTTTAATGTCAGTGGCTGGAGGCTGATGGCTCAGTGTGCATGGAGGATGAAGAGGAATTTTAAAACGTATTCCTGTCTCAACTAATCTTAAATTTAAGTCCAGTCGTTTAGGATTTGGAATTGAGACCCTACAGTGCCATTTGTGATGTGACTTTACCGGACAGTATTGAATATTACAGTTAAAACCCTACAGAGCTGTATAAAGTACAGACTCGTGTTCGATTTAGTTTCTCTTCATGAGTCGTTCTGTGTCTTTGTTCAGGTTGAGAGGACTTTGGGCATCGAGGCTGCCAGATCCACCATCATCAATGAGATCCAGTACACCATGGTCAACCACGGCATGAGCATCGACCGCCGTCACGTCATGCTTCTGGCAGATCTGATGTCCTATAAGGTATAAAAACATTTCTCTGTGTGCGTGTCTGTGCGTCTGCTTCTAGTGTTTGTGCTGTAACGAGTGTTTCACTCATGAAGGGGGAGATCCTGGGAATCACCAGGTTTGGTTTGGCCAAGATGAAGGAGAGCGTCCTCATGCTGGCCTCCTTCGAGAAAACCGCCGATCACCTCTTCGACGCTGCTTATTTTGGACAAAAGGACTCCGTCTGCGGTAAAGTGCTGCTTGGTCTCTGTCATTAAACTGAAATGTGCTCCTCGGCTGGGCCCTAACGTTCCCCGTGTTCCTGTTGCAGGTGTGTCTGAGTGCATCATCATGGGGATTCCAATGAACATCGGAACCGGACTGTTCAAACTCCTGCACAAGGCGGACAAGGATCCGTCCCCGGTCACGAGGCCTCTCCTCTTCGACACGCCGGACTTTCATATACCTCTGATCACATAGCATCGAGGACAGAAACAGCAGGGATGTTTTTGAAGTTTTTTTATTCGTAGCGGACTGTCGGCTCAGTCGGGTTGTTGTCAGCGGAACCTGAAGTGCCTGCCAGAGCGTCAGATAACAGCCTTTTTGTGAATCTGACAGAAAATAGGTTTTTCTTTTTTGTTTTTTAGCGTAATATTTCCAAAACCACACACTGAGAAGGTCGCGTCTTATTTTACAAAGCAAGTTTGTTAGCGCAGAAGAAACGGCGGAGTTGTTTATTATTTCCATGAGGAGACTGAAGGAAGGTTTTTCTGCTTTAACCTTTTTTTCTTTGCTGCTTCTCTGTCATTTTTACATGTTGAACAGTGTATTTCCTCAGTTGTTAAGATGAGATGCATAAGTGGAAGAGGCTCCGAGCGCTGTGTGGATGCTTCTGTTTTGGCACTTGGTTTTGAGTTTCAGTGTGAGCTTTGTGTTTCTGAGCATCGCAGCTTCCATTTGATAAAAAACAACAACTTTTCATTCGCACTGCAGAGCTCATGTTGGGTTTGAAGATTAGTTTAGTCGTTTATGAGACGTGTTGGTTTTCATGCGAGACTCGGCTCAGAGGGCGACTGAAACTGACGTTTTACATCCTGTAAGAAGTTCACTCGTGTAATAATGTAAATAATGTAATAAATAAATGACCCAGTGAAAGTAGTGAACGACTTGCGGTGGGATCACGTGAGCTGTGACGCCTTTTCTGGACCGAGGTGCTCATGAGTCGTGAGTCAAACCTTTCAGTTTGATCTCAGGTACAGTCAGATGTATTCATCCCCTCCCATTAAAGAAAAGGAAAAACTCACATCAGTCACTCAAATAAGTAGAAACTGAAAAAGTAATAATAAATAAAAATCTGCTAAATTATAATTTAGTGAAATAAGATGTTGCTTTTGAATTGTGGTTGAAAAGAATAATTAAAAAAAATAAAAATAACAGTCCAGGACCAATGAGAGGCCTTTGCTGATGAGCAGTGGACCAGAACACCTGTCAACAGGTGCACAAGTCTGACTGAGAGTTACAGGAAACACCTGATTGGCTCAGAGGGTTGTTCAGCTAAATGTTAGTTCACAAGTCCCATCATGCTGGTTGTTGTTTTTTTAATATTTCCGTTGAACCACAATTTAAAAGCAACGTCGTGATGTTCATTAAATTTTTATTTATTATTACTTTTGTCAATTTCAGCTTATTTCAGCTGTTTTTGTTCCTTCTTTAATGTTTGGGTGTGAAAACATCTGAGGACGACTGTACATCATAATTCTCCGTTTCTTTACTTGCAAACTGGTGATGCTCTCATGTTGACATCATCTGTCTGCTACTCAGAGCATCTTTGTGGAAGCTGAAGGTAGCAGGTCTGCTGCTGCAGCTGCTGAAATGGAGAAGCTGTAGTTATTCTGCCATGTTTTAATGCTCCAGGATTGGTCAGAGTGGTGCACCTCATTCATTCTCCAGCTCCACACAGCACCTAATGGGAACCTTAATTATTCCTCAGCTCTGTATCCGCTCCAAATGACACGGGCTATTATGGGAACTCTTCAAAGGGCTTTTCTGTTCTTCAGCACCGCTGTATGGCTCTCAGGGTAATAGGCCGCCTCTTGAAGGTCAGGTTGATGAAATGTGGCTTGATGTCTGCCTCCTCTTGTTTGAAGTGTCTTTTAGCAACACACTAAACTTCAAGCAGTTCCAGATGATCACTTGAGCGATTATTAATCTCACAGCCGTCGGGAGTTTCCGTGTGTGAAAACGAGGCGTCGCTAAAAGCTTCGTTTTGTCGGGTTTCCGGTTATGTTTGTGCTTGTGGGTCTGGTGCAGTTAAAGTTGTAAATGTCAGTAATCAGGATGCAAAAGAAGACGGGAGTCAGCGGTTAAATGCAACACATGTCTGTCTGTGTGTCCAAGACAAGTGTGTCTGATCAGAATGACTCCAATGTGGACTATGCTGGCTTAACGTCGGCATTATGTCAGCATTCAGCTCCATCTGAAGCCCAACTGCCAAGGACAGCACAGAACATATGAAACAAGAAGCTGAACTGATGACATTCCTGTCAGTAGAGAGCTTCGTGCTTTCTGTGATCCAGCTGTGAACTGCAAAAGGTTTCAGGCTCAGATGTAAAGATCTTTCTTTCCCCTTAAACAAAATACGCTAGTCATTAAATAAGAATATATTTCACTTGTTTCCTTTTTCCCGTGACTCTGGGTCACCAGAGGAGCAGACTACAGCCTTCAGCAGCCACCTTCAAGCCCACATTTGATATTTAAAGAGATAGACATGAGGTGGAGTCTTTCTTTAAAATCTCCTACAGAGAACCTTCCTGGAGAGCATCTTTTTGCTTCTACCTCTCAGATGTCTGTGTTTGAGCCGGTTTTCGCTGAATCTGCAGCTCAAGTGGAATCTAAGTGTTCCTTGTAATTACTTCCTTCTGAGTCACTTCCTCATCAGACTAAAGAAAACTCAGCTGAACAGCGTGTTATCGGAAACGATCACATCTAGTTGTAAGAGTTGGTGACATAATGCTGAAATCCGTACTTCCACGAGCTGCCACAGAGGGCGCCGTTGCCTGTGCCCAGTCCATAAACTCTTTCATGATTAATTCAGTCAGTCATGACTGATTTAATCACTTCTACAGCAGCGGCAGTAATGTTCAGCTAATAATTCACGACCTGAGACTGGTGTGCTTCACGGTGGGAATTCACGCCTCGAGGAGCGCGAGTTGGGTCGATACCGGGCTGTGAGCCGTCTCATGTTGAGCAGCACGGCGCATAAACTGAAGGAGCCCATTTGAATTTAAACCACTACATCCTGAAAGCAAAGAAGCAAGTTGAAGCAGGTGTTTTTACTCAGTGTTAGATTTAATACAGCAGCAGGATTCTGACCCAGTTTGCTGCCAGATTCTTTTTCTTCAGTCTGAGAAATCACACACAATCGCTAAAGGACATTTGTGGTACACCATCCAAGAATAGAGGCAGTTTCTGCTTTACAAGAAAGAAACAAGGGCAAAGACGGAAAGATTTAAAAATAGAAAAAAAAAGGCAAAGAAACTAATATTTAAACCAGTGACGGTTTGCTTTTCAGTGCAACATGTTTAAACTCTGCACAGAACTGTGAATAAAAGCCACTGTCACAGCCAAACAGCATTACAGGAAGTGTAACTCAAACACACACCGATAGAACACTTACGTCTTGTTCAGACAGAAACATTACAAAAATATTCCACAGGACCATTTAGGTGAACACAGGGATGCTTTAATCAGTTCTGTCTGAGACGTCTAATGCAGCGTTTAGCTCAGGCATCGTATTCCAGCGTTTGTGATCATCCCACAGGTTTATGCTGCTTCACACACTTGTGTAAGAAAATGTCTTCACGTTGCTGCACTGATGCATTAAAAAAAAGCTTTGACGTACATTCATGGTTCAATTCTGTCGTAGAAAAATGACCTGTAGCTTAAAAACAGAGTTTATTGATAAATTGAGAATATTGTACGATATGAAAGATCTTCCAGCTCTGAAAGAAGAAACACAAAACTGCAGCTTTTATAGAAAAATAGAGACAAAAGAAACTCACTGTCATCTGTTCAGTGTTGTAGAGAAGGACCGGTTGGAGCCTATAGGAACTCTTTAAACTGTCCTCTAAGGATCCACTTCATGTTCCACCTCCTGACCCCATAAACACACAAACAAAGCCCGTCCGGTCAGACATCCGATGTTCTGATGATCCTCTATCATAAAGTCGTGCGATGTGAAGGACACACGCTGAGGTAAGACTGTGCTCGAGCTTTAAATGTGAACAAAAAGCATCTCGTTTCTGAGAGTGAGTCGAAGCAGCTCGTGAAGAGTTGATCCTTGTATGAATAGATGAGTTTAAAACCGAGTTCGCCTTCACAGCCAGGACTGAACGCATGTTTAAAACTCCTCCTACAGTCAACACACGTTATTCACTGAACTGTGATGACACTTGTGCACAAAAGCATTCACTGACTTCAGCCTTTACAGTTACTGAGGCAGACTTCACTACAACACAACTAAAGTCTTTGGACTTGTAAAATGCTCAATGTACAGTTTTATT